CGAAAACACCTCGAAATAATAGTTTAATAATATTTTCATTTATCAAACAAAATGTCGAAAATTCAGGAAATTTTTTTTTCGAATTTTTTTGATGGCAATAAAATTTCGAATGATTTCTAACATTTCCGCTCAATTTTCATCTTTCTAGCTTATCAAGAACTCAAGATATAGCCATTTGAAGTTTCGGGAGCCTAGAGACGCAGACAATGAGACACTCTAACTGTCTGCGTCTCTTCAAAACTTCAAATGGTTGTATCTCTGCTCCCAGGTGCGCTATGAGCTTGGTTTTTTGACAGAATAGCAGCGAATTTCACTTTTTTGTGAATTTTGAAAACAATTGAACAATGTGAAAATTGGAAAATTTTCAAAACTATTTGTATCGTCTAAAAAATTATATATCTGAAAACCCCTTATGAAGAGAAGTCGTTCAGAAGAAAAACCAAGTTCCTAGCACTTCTAGAAGCCATATATCCAATTGTAGTTTCGGAGGCGAGAGACGCAGTGTGTCTCGTCGTCTGGCGTCTCTAGCCTTCAAAATTTTAAAGAACTGTATCTCGGCTCCCAGATGAGCTAGAAACTTTATTATTTTTGAAATTTGTACAGAATTTTACGTTTTTGGCAAGTTTTGACCTATTTCGTAATGTTATTCGTTTTGAAATATTTTTTTCTGAAATTTTCAGTATGGTTCCATTAGGGATAATGGAATTTCCTAAAAAAAAAACTTTTTTTCAGCTTTTTTTTTACTGAAAATCAAATTAGCACTATCCTACATTTATTTGGCTAAAAAATCTAGAAAAATTTTTTTTCCAGGCAACTTTCAGCAAGGTTTTCTATTTGGAAAATTTAGGAATTTCGTTTTTTAGAAAAATTCCAAAAAAACTAATTTTTCATTTTTCGGTTCTGTCTGTCCACCCACAGAAATGACTTTTTTTTCCCATGAGAACCATTGTCTCCTATCTATTTTTCGCCTCCAAAAAAATTTCAGACAAATCGTCTTCAGAATATTCCATAGAAAAAAAAACTTCTACTTCAGAATATCCTTGACGTTATCTGAAAAAAATTCCGAAAAAAATTTTTTTTTGAACGCAATTTCAGATTTTTGAAGCCAATTTTGGAGAGCTGATTGCGTGTCGATTGAACTTTTGGGAAACAGAAAATTGGTCCGAAAATTAGTTGGGCGGTCCCAACTGAATTTGGGGGCATGTCCCTCTTTTAATTTTAAATGTCAACATCATTTTTTTTTCTCTGAAAAAGTATAGTAGTCGTGTAGTATAGCAAAAAATAGAAGAATTCTAGAAATTTGAATGAAATTGTATTTTTGGAAATTTTGAAACTTGAGGATTTTTGCGATTTTCTGAATTTTAAATTTCAAGTTTTCAACTTTTTGGGATTTTTTTTGAAATTTTCAGATTTTCGAATATTTTATATCTTTTGACTTATTTCATTCTCTTTTATCACTAATCACTGATTGGCTACGTTTTTTCTTTTTTTTATTATTTTTTGGTAATTAGAAAAAAACTGGTTTTATACTATAAAAGTAAACACTTTTACTATTTTTACACAAATTTTCTTGAAATTTTGTTTTGTTTTCTGAAAAATAAAAAAAAATAGTATAAAAAATCACCCTGAAAAAAATCAACTTGTTGAATTTTTGAATTTCTGAATTTCCAAATTCTCTGAAGTTCTGAATAATTTCTGAATTTCTGAATTTCTGAATTTCTGAATTTCTGAATTTCTGAATTCCTGAATTTCTGAATTCCTGAATTTCTGAATTTATGAATTTCTGAATTTCCAAATTCTCTGAATTTCTGAATTCATGAATTTCTGAATTTCTGAATTTCTGAATTTCTGAAGTTCTGAATTTCTGAATTTCTGAATTTCTGAATTTCTGAATTTCTGAATTTCTGAATTTCTGAATTTCTGAATTCTCTGAATTTCTGAATTCTCTGAATTTCTGATTTCTCTGAATTTCTGAATTCTCTGAATTTCTGAATTTCTGAATTTTTGAATTCCCAAATTCTCTAAATTTCTGAATTTATGAATAAGTCCCCAATATCCTTGATTGTTTCCGGTTTTGGGCATTTTTTGTCTCAAATTTTTCTCTAGAAAAAGATAATGACCAGTAACCAGAATTTTCTAGAAATTTTAAAACTTTTCTAAAACTTTTCATAATTGAAAATTACCATCTTCTTTTTTTTCCGTTTCATTCATTTATTCAATAAAAAGTTGAACAAATAGAAACTAAACTAGAAACTAACAGCCGAAAACGTGCAGATGGGTCCTTAAACTTTTTTCAGTAGCACTTTTTTAATTCTAGGAATTTAGTGTGATGCACACTTTTTAGAGAGAGCAAGTTTTATTGTGTAGTTTGTACTTTGAAAAAAAAACGAAACGAATTGAAATAGATAAAATAGAGTAGAGTCATTTTTTAAATAGATTTGAAATTCAGAATTTTCGGAAATTTTCCGAATTTTTGAAGTTTTTTGAATTTTGGACCATGAGAATTTTCCCTTTTTTGAAATCCCGAATTCTTTTTCTCAAATTATCTGGAACCAGTCGGTTTGCGCCCCTTCGGGGCTAAACCTCCTGGCCTCCAGTTACAGTACCTTGTTGGATTTCCTCCCTTCTTCTCTCGCTCTCTCTGCCCGCCACCCTTCACTGTGGTGAAACCAAGGAACGTCTCCAGAAGACTTCAAAATCAAAATTTCAAAATTAGAAAAGGTTGGGCCTAAACTAATGAAACTTTCTGATCCGTCTGTCCAGGTTTCAGCTCAATCGGTTAACTTTGAGTGGGCGTAATGACACGCGACATAAAAACCAACAAACGGAATTTGGTGAATGTTATTAATAATGATTAGAGGTTGTCTGAATTTTTGGATTCTTGTTGGACGTTTTTGAAACTTTA